GCGGCCTCAATAGCAGCGAGCTCAGTCTGTAGCTCGAGTTCAGCTACGGCACGCTCTCGCACAGCAGCGGCGCGCTCTCTCTCATCCTCCACGACGGCAAGTCGTCGGACGCACAGACAAAAAAAAAATAAAAATCATTGTTTTGTGTTCTATTACGTTTATAAATGCCCTTTGTTGCCGACGACAACGATAGTAGAACCTTTTAACCACCATCACTTTGCTTTCCTCGACCGCCTACTTCGACTGCCACAAATTTCCTTTTTGCGTCAGCTACCGTAGTTATCTAAATCTTGTTCCTGTTGACAAAAACCTAAAATAAAAAAATACAATATAATGTTATACTAATTTTACAGAAAAACAACTGCGTAAGAAATGGAAGAACCTGCGCGATCAGTTTCGAAAAGAAAAAAAGAAATTCCCTACACCGCGCTCTGGTGACGGTGGTGACGATTAAATAGAGAGCACATGGCCATACTTTCAACTTATGCAATTCATAAACGATGACATTACACCTGAAGTCATGACGGGAAATCTGCATGACAGTGATTCGGAATCTCTCAACGAGTCTTGTCAAACTGAGCAATCTAACATCGCTGACGTGATGAGTCCAGGTACATCAACCTGCATCAGTCGCACAAACGCGTCAAAGCGTAAGAAAACGGCATCTGATTATAAAGATGAACTTTTAGAATGTGAAAGAAAAAAAAATATGCTAATTGAACAAAAAATGGTATCAAATAGTGACCAGACGGAGAAATGTGATGATTATCACTTTTTTATGAGTCTCCTGCCACAAATGAAAAAATTTAATGAATTACAAAAGTTACGCATTCGAAATAAAATTACCCAAATTATAATAGACGAGGCAGAAAGGATGCAGTTTTCTCATCCGAGATACGAGGAAAATTATGGAGGGTATTCTACTGGCAACTACCCTAATTATTAATTTGATTATCGTTTATTTTTACTTACGTAGTTGTTTGATTACTAATAATAATATAAAACTTTAAAGAAAATTTTGTTTTATTCTTACCTCAGAGTTATGAACAATTTCTCCTCAGGTCTAATACATTTGCGAAAGTTAGTATCTTCTTTGGTGATTTTATGTGATATTTTACTTAGTATATAGTCAAATGTTGACACATGCATTCTAGTGTACTCAAAGAATTTTGTGGGATATAATCTCAATTCTTTATATTAGTAAAAAAATTCACCAGTTATTCCTCTGTTTTTATTTATATTGTGCACACCATCTCTGGTGTTCAACACCTCCCATCTCAGAATTGGACTGTCTAGTAAAAATAGCAAATCCTCGTCCATGGTTTGCAACACCCGATACACGTCCAACCGCTACAAGAGCTCGCACGTTACTGTGGCCACCGCACGCCCCCACTCGCCGCGCCCGCCTCAGCCTCCAGTTACCGCGCATTCAGTGTGGACGCACACTATGAGAGAAGCCACTAGTGCAGAAAGCAAGCTGCCTAGTGAAAGCCCGTTGTATGGCCTCAATTCTTTAAGAATATACGCTGTAATATGGACTCCAAACACAAGAAGCATATTCACGGGTTCACGGAGAAGAGTCCTACTCACCCCCTGTTGCTTGCTGGGTAACAAGAACAGAGCCAGAAACATTTGCACGATTATTGTTTTATTTTTTATTTCTCTGACAAACAAGACGCACATGTCTGACGAAAGATACGTGGTGGCATATCTGTCGACCCTAAGACTTTTATTGACATTCAAATCGCTTAGGCTCTCAGAGAGTTCGTACAGAAAGCGCTCGGTCACATGAGATACTTGACGGGTACGAAGCGTATTTAAATACCCATCGCGACGCTCATGCGCTATCAAGTTGAATCTGGAGAATTCATTGTTAGAGAAAATATCTTGAGAACGCAGAGAACTCATACAGCAAGCGTTTGATCTCAGAAAACTTCTGAAGATAACTTGGCACATCTAACTGCTGATTGTAACATATATACAGTATTGTTTGAGTCTGGAACTTCCTTTAAAGAGCTCGCACTGTGCAGTATAGAGAGCGAGAAATTATCGCTAATCGGTGTTGCCTTCAATCTGCCCGTACCCCACAAGCGTACCTATATAATTAACTGTTAACTAGCCGCGTAAATTATAACCTGTGTCACAAAAGTATGATGCAGCTTTCCGTAAGTGAATTTTTAAAATCGGCTTAGTGGTTTCGGAACCAATTCGATGCAAAAACCAATGTACCTAATTTTCCTCTTTTTAAGATTAGAGGTAAGCGCATTCGGTTTTACGATGCAGTTAAGTAAAGTCTTTATTGCACAACAAGAAAATGACACGAACATACATAATATGCACTAAAGACAAACTTAGCGCTAGCCAGCGACTTCAGGCAACATAGCATTGGATGGAAAACATGACAAAAAATAATAGATTGCACATACAACTGGACAGATTAACCAATAACATACAAAAAGATCAAAATCATAAGAAGTATAGTTGAATCAGCGTAATCACTAATATGAGTATAACTAATATACTATAGAAATGGTCAGGCGCAAGAGCAGAGAGTGAAGTGAGAAAAAAATGAGAAAAATAACTATCGTAAGGGCCGTTCATAGGGTGCCCAAAACATTATCATCTTGAGCTCCTCCTTGCTTTGGAATGCAAGTGAAGCCGTTGGTCCCGGCTGCATTAGTAAAATATTAAAATAATTAAAAATTTTAATGAACTAAAATGTATGATAAAATAAATGAATAACAATAAAGTGTGTAAGTAAGTAAGAAGTATATTGTTTGTCACATTTACTATAAATAACGAAAAGAAAATAAAGATACATATTCTTCTAAAGTGTAGTTTAAGTAGTATATTTATAAGTTAACTTTATGCCGCCATCGTGTATTTCTGTATCCCAAAGGTTGATTGGTAGAGAATGCTAATAGCATTAAGTCCGCCTCTTGTACCAATTTAATGGACAATAAAGTTTCTTAAATAAATAAATACATAGTAAGTATATTGTGTGAATATAGAAAAAAACAAAGACAGAGAAATAACATGTTCAAGCACCTACATTAAGTGATAGACCCAGCCTCAGCTTAACGTATTGCTAACTTAAAACATATTGTTGAGAAGGATTATAAATCTATGGCAAGAGTTACAGCGAAATAAGCTACATCCTGTTGACGTAGACTATAAATTACGCTGGCGAAGTCACGGGAAAATAGTTAGTTTGAAATAAAACACAATATTAAATATCGTACCCTTTTTACTACCGTACAACAACAAATAAGTATTCATTTCACCAATCTTCAATTGACCAACCGTATTCAAGAGGCCAACGACTGAAAAAAAAAACAAAATAAAAAGGTTTATATCAAATTAATAATACCAGCGTGATAACCTTAAAAAATATAAAACTAACAAAAGCAATATAAAAAGGTTTATATCATATTAATAATACCAACGTGATAACCTTAAAAAATATAAAACCAAAAAACAATATAAAAAGGTTTGTATCATATTAATAATACCAAGGTAATAAATAACCTTAAAAAATATTAAACGAGTTCTCGTTTAGTTTTTTCCAACAACTGAAGTGTTATGTAAACTTATTTATACTTATTATAAAGCGGACTTATCTATACTAATATTATAAAGAAAGATTTGATTATTTGTTTGTTTGCAGCGGATAGGCTCTGAAACTTCTGGACTGATTTTAAATAATTGAATAATTCGCTTTAGAGATAAGTATTATTTTTCACTTTTATAAAGTTTTAGGTCTGTTCTATAATCAACTTTTGCTAGAGCCGCCATCTAGTGGAGTGCTTTTTAGTGCTTTCTTTTTTTATGAAATACTTCCGCATTAAGATATGGCAAAAAGGTTTTAAGCTAAATCTTTTGACGAGTTAAGTTAAACATTTGAGCTCGCAGTCTCGTCTATGTTTCTCAATCATTAAAATCATAATTCGTTGCAAATACGACAGCGACATTAAAAGTAAAATAATTCAATAAATTGCAGTCACAATCGCTATTCCTTTGAAAGTGATTGTGCTAGATTTTGAAATAAAATGATAAGTTTACGGTTTTAGCCAAGCCAAGAGAGGCCTCTCGGCCATTTGGGACGCCAAGGCATTCTAATAAACGCATATACAGACATTAATTGACTACTATAATAGTATTATATTATAACAAAACTAATAGCAGTGACAATGTCCAAAGATGGGTCATAATCTTGGAATGACCAAAACCGATTCATAATTATAAAATGCTCGGTGTTGTTAAGCAACTTTTGCAAGGGTCAGTCACAGTAAATTACCAATAAATTATTATCTGGAGCTACTGAGTGAAATGAAATGAAAATATCTTCATTCAAGTAGGCTTCTTAAAAGCACTTAAGAATCGTCCAAAAAATTTTTTTTCCCCTACCGTCGATTTTAACAGTCGATGTCTTTTAGCTGACAAGAAGAACAAGCGAAAGAAACTTACCAGCTCTTTATCATAAGTAATGACATTTACATAAATCATGTCATTACCAAAATAATATGTATTATAACAATAATAAATACAACTTTCAAAGTCTGTAGGACATAGGTTGTACATATAATTAGTCGTTATAGAACAAAGCGAAGGCTATCAATTCCATGCCTTGCGATCCTTAAAATAATCATCAACTTTATAATACCTTTACTCATAAGTATGTTCTTTACATGAATTTTGAATTTATTTACGGGCAGGTCAATTACATATTTTGGAACTTTATTGAACATAGCAATGCATTTACCCAGAAATGATCCTTTGGTTTCTGGGTAAATGTGTTTCAGAAGGCAGGTTAAGCCGTTGCTCCCGGCTGCATTTGCAATCATTAATACCCTCCAATTCGCATTGGACCAGCGTGGATGGTCATGGCTAATAAGGAAAGCCTGAGGCCTTTTCAGCGTGGACAAAAGAGGGCTGAAATAAATCATAAATGGACCAAAACTACGTCATCTGCCCTTATACTATTATAGAGATGACGCAACTCACTGGCTCTTTTTAGGTTTAGCCTTAACTGTTGTCTGTTCCCATATTCCGAGTCCACCAGCAGCACCAGCAGCGTCTGCAGATTCCAGCATCTTCTGTCTCTTCTTTTTCTGCTCTCTCTTTCTCTTTTTACGTTCCACCGCTTTGTTGCTGACGTAAGCCTCTTGAATAGTTAAATCGTATACTGGCGTAGTTGCATTTCTTGTTTGTTTAATTCTTGGGGTTCGGGAAGCTGCAGCTGTTTAGGAAAACACAAAGTTAGTTTTTGAACAATCAATGCACATTAGTTTTACGCTCTGAGGCAGTCCCAAACGTTGGTCCTTGGACCACTGGTGGTTCCTGGAAGCATCTCAAGTTAGCCCGTGGAGTGTCATAAAATTATTATCTATGCTAATATTATAAAGAGGAAAAATTTGAGTGTTTGTTTGTTTGCAACGAATACGCTCCGAAACTGCTTGACGCGTTTTAAAAATTCTTACTTTTACTAGAAGCTATATCGTATTTGGTGGAAATAGTATTATAATCAACCAAAAAACAGCAAATAAAGGGATGAAAATGAGTAAATAATTTTGTATAGGGTATTAAAACGTTACCACAGTAACCATTGTTTACTATTCAATTTGTAATTGTCATTATATTGTAGGAATCTAGCAAATGTTGATTTTCGCAGAAAACGAATGGACCAAAGACAGTAATTTCCATTTCTTTTAACTAACATATTAAAAAACTGAAATTTGCAAAGTTCGAAACTTATATATCAATACAAATACGAAAAAGTACAAATAGAATATGAGTTGTTTATTGAGTTATGGAAATTAATTTACTTTTATACATTAGTTCCCGTAATCAAACTAGATGTCGCTACGATACTTTCTAGATTTCTCCATGACAACCCTTCCGGTTCTCTTTCATGTATAAATTAGTTATCAAAATTCAATAAACAACTCATATTCCATTTGTACTTTTTTGTATTTGTATTGATATCTAAGTTTCGAACTTTGCAAATTTCAGTTTTTTTAATATTTTAGTTAAAAGGAACGGAAATTACTGTCTTTGGTCCATTCGTTTCCTGCAAAAAACAACTTTTGATAGAGTCGCCATCTAGTGGAGGTGCTTTTTAGTGTTTTCTTTTTTTTATACTTTCTCATTGAATAGTTGAATATGTTTTTCAGTTTATAACTACTTACTTGTAGTTTCTACATCGTCGAAAATACTCAGTTTCTCCTTGCCCTTATATTTCTTCTCTACTTCGTGAAGCATATTGCATAGATGTATAACAGCCATTCCGTATTCTAATACAGTTGTATATATGTACATTATATACGATACCGGGGCTATATCTGAATATTGCTGTGTACAAAATAAAGTGTGCTTATGTTAGGATGTTATTTTATAAAAAAAAAAGTAAAAAAAACCCGACTACAGCTAAATAGCACTCTAAAAAGTTTAAAACAAAAAATAAAATAAACTTCTTCGTAACGAAAAATGCTTAAAAAACCAAAGGGTTTAGCCGGATACGTATGACGAGTCGGCCCCCAAATGGGAATCGATATTGAAACTTATGTTTTAATATAGACTTGATGTTCAAACACGATTTATGTACTTTTCGCGACCGACTTCCGTTTTGACCTTGAGATAGAGAGCAAAATATCCGTATGCTTGACTATTACTGAATGTGATATATCTCTGAAGCTAATTAAGATAAAGAAGTGAAACTAACGCGAGGTGTTAGGTTACATTACAGAGTATATCACATATATTTTTTTATAATTTTTAGAATAAAAAATTATATTAAAAAAATAAAAATAAAAAAAAACATGTTTTTTTTTCTGAGTTCTCTGTGACTTACAATCACGAAATTAATATATGTTATGCTCCTTTGTGTGCTCTATCACCCATAAAAATTGCGTGAAAAAAAAGTTGGTGCAACACTACGAAAAAAAATTATATGTGATTCGCGCCTTGTAGTGTGAGTGTATAAACAAACAAGTTCGAACTTGTTATCGAGCTGTTTACTGCATCGTTTGTTTAGCTAAAGTAGCAGTCATTTGTATTACACAAGAAGGCAGTTTGGGACTCATATTCTGTCATAGGTATTTTGTATCAGCATTTTGAAATTATTAACTATCGAACCAAATCATTATTAAGTAATAATGTCGAAAAAGTGTAAAAATTGTAACAAGTACCTGTGTAAGATTCCTGGTTATAAAAAAATTATAAAGAATGAAGAAGAAGCTAAAGTGTTTAGTGACTGTTTAAATAAAATCGTAATAGTTAATGATATTTTTTGTGAGAAGTGTCGACTTATCCCATATATTAACAAAAAAGCTTCTACTTCTAAATGTGCAGCATTTAACTTGGCCGAAATAATGGACGATCAAAATAATCTCTCAGTACAATATGTGAAATCAGCACCTAATATCATCAAAGCAGAAGTGAAATCAAGACATATAAATAGAGATGTCTATCGAATTTACATTCACTATATTTCCGAAAGTAATGACTACAATAGTATTCTTCGTTATTGCTGTGATTGCCCCAATGGCAAACGTACAGTGGGATGCTGTTCTCATGTAGCAGGTATTATTTATTATCTATCATATGGATGATATTTGTCCAAAATCGTACGTCCTGCTGAGGTCCTAACTAAGTTATTTGCGACTCAAAGTGTTCCGATTGTAATTAATTACAACAGTGACGATGATTAATATTTTGTTTCTTGTATTTTGATAGACACGTAAAAGTAATAATAATAAGTATTGAACACTGGCTGTTTTTTTTTCATTTCTTTTTTAACTATTATCCCATCTTTTAAGACTAGTTACTTATGTTTTAAAACAAGCTGATGTGAAATTTCGAAAAAAAAAACAATGATGTAATGTGAAAACCTTACAATACAGGGGTATACCATAAGACAGAAATCACATATAATTTTTTTTCGTTGTGTTGCACCAACTTTTTTTTCACGCAATTTTTATGGGTAATAGAGCACACAAAGGAGCATAACATATATTAATTTCGTGATTGTAAGTCACAGAGAACTCAGAAAAAAAAACATGATTTTTTTATTTTTAATTTTTTTAATGTGATTTTTTATTCTAAAAATTATAAAAAAATATATGTGATATACTCTGTAATGTAACCTAACACCTCGCGTTAGTTTCACTTCTTTATCTTAATTAGCTTTAGAGATATATCACATTCAGTAATAGTCAAGCATACGGATATTTTGCTCTCTATCTCAAGGTCAAAGCGGAAGTCGGTCGCGAAAAGTACATAAATCGTGTTTGAACATCAAGTCGATATTAAAACATAAGTTTCAATATCGATTCCCATTTGGGGGCCGACTCGTCATACGTATCCGGCTAAACCCTTTGTCCCTGGCACTCTGAGATGGGACTCGAACCCTTTCGGCTGTTTCACGCGTGAATCGTGTTAGCGCGTGAAATTCTTAGCGTCTTCGTGTGTATCTACTTAGCAGTGTTAATCATTAAGAGAGAAAAGCGTGTTAATTAACACGCTGGATGTTAATTTAACCATCACTAGTACGTATTAGCCCACCCTCCATACCCAAACCCTTCAGGTCAAAGCCCCATCCGATCTGGCGGAGTTAACGGCTTACATCTCACCCCTCTCCCCCCTGTCCAAAGCAGTGTTTAGTGACTGGGAGTCTGACAGAAAGAAGGATTCACCGCCTCCTTCCCCCGTTGGGAAGATGGTAACGAACCTCTAAGGTTGAGAGCCGAAAAAAAAGAAAGGGACGGGTTAGCCGTTCTAGAACTTTTTGGTAACGAATGCCTTGATTACGCTAGTAGGACCGAGTCCGATCTAGAATGTTCTAGGTCCTAACCTAACCAGAACATTCTAGATGTGGTGTTCGCTTCTAAATATGTGGTGGACTACCCATCCTGTCATTCTTTATCTCTGTAGTGAATTGAATACGTAGGTAAGTGAATACTAGTGAAGTGAAAACTATAGTGTTGTGAAGTGTTATAAGTGACATGAAATGGCGAATTATTATTAATGAATATTTATGTAATTTAATTGTGTTAAATGGCGTCAATTTTTATCCAGAATCCAGAAGTAACATGACGATATTGTAAATTAACTTTAAAGATATTTTATTGGTTATACTTAGAACTTACCCTAACGAAAAAGAACCTATGCCATTTGTCGTCGTACGAACATTTTAATAATTTAGAAATTGTGCTTATAATATATATTTTTTTTAATCATATTCTTGAAGATTATCTGTGAAACAGAGGTACTGTCAGCTCCCACTTCCGTTGCATCATAAATTATCGAAAAATGGTGGTCTTTGGAAGTGGTATTAGCATTTTAAAAAAGAACGAAATTTTGTTTCCGCAGAAATAGAATTAACTTAAATCTACAATCCTTTTAGATCGCGTCAAGACTCTAACCATTACTTACATTATTATAAAATCTTTTGACGACCAATTGATATAGTTCCAACATCATTCTATATTTATGAACTATCTCGTGAATTATGTAGCCAATTTCGTAGTCTAAATTGTTAGTATATAAGGCTCTTATGTGATAGTAATTTCGAATTTCATCCAATCTGAAACAGAGAAAAAATATATTAGCAAAAGTGGGCAAACTTCACTCAAAATGGAATTTCATTAATCATTATTTAATTACTCGTTAACTTCATTAATCGTTTTGTTAAAAGTTAACAACTATACAGTTTTACTAAGATAGTATCTAATAATTAACGCGACTTAGTTGCCTTACAACATGTAATCATGTTGGAGACAAAAAAAATATGTTGGTCCACACTAGCTTGGTACACGCCACTGCCAGTACATATGCCAAACGATTATCCAATACTATGTGTTCTTTTGAAATATTGTTTAGGGTTACCAAGGCTGAAAATGTGAGCCTTTATCGTATTATTGCTTTCACGGATTAGATCAATACTTTCTTGATCTTCTGTATAATGATGTATTAAAAAGTTAAGACGGGTTATCTGCGCACAACATTGACAACAAGAAAGCAAACGTTGCGACTAATGTGCACAAGTTACACATTGACAATGAGAAAAGTAAAAAAGTTATCATTTCATGCGTAAGTACTGTATTTACTCTTTTTTAACTGTATACAAACGTTGTCCTGACAATAAAAAAAATAATCGTTGAATTTGGTGCAGTCGTTTGGAATGTATGTACGCACATTTTGGCGCATATATATAACGGCGGGTAGTCAGAAGGGGCTATTACGAAGCCCAAATAGATCGTCTATATCGGAGGACTATCTTTAAAATAACACTGCAGGCGTGTATACCAATGTGGACTTATTCCACTTTATCACTTTTCATCGGAAAATATAACGAGATGAGCGTGATGTCGTCGGATGTCTTTAATCTTCGGCGATCGGAAACAGAATGCCTGCCAAAATGGCGGCAACTTGCTTTTCGTTAACCAACTGTCAACAGTGTTAACATTCTAATAAAATTAAAAGTATCGACGATCACGCCATCTGTACAATTGAGTAATTATGTAATCGAATACGTAATGATTAAACAAGAAACTAAATCAAACTATCTTTGTAAAGATAATGGAGATTTTCTGCGACATATATATATGCATTTTCTAATTGGGGTGTATAATACTTACGCCGATTGATATGTGAACGCTGTCAGATAGCAATTCTTTGCAATTAAAGAATAAGAATAATAATGCACAGGCTGCCACCAATACCAGCTAAAGATTCTTCTAGAAGTTTTACCGAGACTCTCTAATTCTCTCAGATCAAATTTCTTGTATTCTAAAAACAACAGCAATAATTATAACAGCGCTCCGTGTGGAAAACGAGCAAAAAAAAAAACACGTTTGTTGTATTTTATTGTTGTATGGTAGCCCCCTTGAGTATTTATTTTATTACTAGCTGTGCCCGCGACTTCGTCTGCGTGGGAAGTGTTTTAGTAGAATTCTATTTTTCCTATGAATGCAGTCAAATCGAATAAGATCAATGCGCCATAACCCACTAGTGTTGCCAGGTGTCCCGATTTGCGCGGGACGTCCCGATTTTCAGGGTCTAAAGACCCGTCCCGATTTACACCTGGTCGGGACGCTAAATGTCCCGAATAATCGAAGTCTTTACAAAATTTTCTAAAACTTGTAAAAAAACAAACAAATAGATAGTAAGGGATTCGATATACTTTCGTCTATTCCACATAAATATATCTTATCCATTCATTTGTCTTTCTTATGGCTTAAATTATGTACCCGCTAAATAATACTATTATGGCTCTAAGCCAACGT